TCAATGATGTTTTTTCTTCCCACACCACCACCTCAAGCAGCACATTTTAACTTCTCCCTTTACACACATTTATACTCGCTGGCCAATAAACAAAATAAAAGTTGCTGAAATGCTCCTACGTGCCTGAAACAGTAAGATAAACCTGAAGTAGCGTGGGCCCCTAAAACAGTCAACACCCAGCAGTGAAAACTTCCACAGAAATCTTAACTCAATCTGCTCTGCAGTGCCATTCCCTTCCCAAAAGGATGGTGGGAAGTCAGTTCAGAAGGCAGAGTCAGCGTCTTTAAACCAGCCAGCTAATAAATTACTTTTTCCTTGCTGGTGAATCAAAAAAGCAGGACACTTGTCACTTTTACTGATTATTTTCCCCAAAGATAAAAAGTACAATCTATTAAGAAGGGAGCAACCATCAAGAGAAGAAAAGAGAACTTTGCCTTTTGCTCAGAAACTCCTGGCACAGGAGTATCAGCTATTGCTTATTTCTTAAGCATGTGAAATGGAACCAAAGGAACTGAGTTAATATATCTGAAATTTTAGCCACTGGATTAAAACTGACTACATCATGCTCAGAATTACTCAAAACCTTAGGAGATGTAACAAGATTAGACTGATTTTCAAACGTGCTCCCACTGCACCCAGTGAAGGTGGTGTTCAGAGTGGGCTGTTTACCTGCCCTGGGCTGCAGCCACACAGCTGAGCCCAGGAGCTAACTTGCTCATCTCTGTACAAAACTGCTGTTGCACAACAAAAGTAGCAAAAAGTCCCTGAAGTCCTCAATTATATTCCAAAAGAGTATTTAAGCTGCTAAATCACTCAGGCACTTTCAAAAGATTTCCTCAAGTTTGCAAATCTAATTGCTCATCTAAGCTCAATTCAGCTCAATTTTAAAAATCAGCTAAATTGGTGCTAATGCTGATGACACTAAAAATGCCCTTAAAATCATTTAAGGTTAATTTGATAATTTACCAACATAAAGGTTAAGCTGACTAAAGGTGTTTTTTTTCAATACAGAATTTTATAGAATTTTATTGGCTTGGCTATAATGGTAGGAAAATAGCTTATTCAAACTTCTCTAATACTGACAAGCTCATAACTTTACTTCACATAATTCTTCTCTAGATTAAAAAAAAAAAAGTAATAGAGGAAAATTACACCAATAAATACAGTTTTTGTTCTAACACAGATACTTGCATTTTCGAGGATATTTAGCAAAGCGATCACCAGTAGGGAAAAAGCACTCTTCTTTCCCCAACTTAAATCATCTTTCTTGTAAGGAGTAACTCTCTTGTATAAAAAAATGCTGCTGTGAATAGGTCTAGACTTTACACAGCTATGGGTCACTAATTTAATTAGATTTCAAAGCAACTATTCTACCTTTACACTGAATACAATACTTCCTGTACCCTCCCTCATACTAAAAGGAATAAAACAATCCGCCAGAGGTTTACACCTCAATGCATGAGGAAACAACAACAAAGTGTACACACAATACCTTGAGTTACAGATGGGGATTATATTGTTCCACTTATTAGGGAAACCTTAACTACCTGCTAAGTTGGTATTTTTAGCAAGGAAAACAGAAGCTTTTCTCCTTTCTGGTGAGAAGGGATTCTGTTTGACCTGCTCTGCTCAGAAGATAACTGCCACCATCCAACCCCAGTAACTTTCCCTACTAAATATGAGCTTTTGCACATACTAAAAACATAAAACAAGCCTCTCTGTATGAATAAAATAAATTTTAAAAGTGAACTTTACTGGTAACAGTAGAAGTCCTTGCCTTCTATAAGAAAACAATAGGGCTTGTAGGGTTTTGCTAGGGGGCAAATAGTAGGGTAGAGTGAGGATAGGAGTCTGTGGTGGATCAGCATTTGGTCTTTTGAGCTTTGCTCCTTCCAAACAAAACTGCAGCCCCAGTTTCCACAGGGTTCTTGTATCACATGTGTTACCATACATTTCTGACTCCACAAGGTTACTGCTTTCGTGATTTGAGTGATCTGAAGCTGCATGGATTAATTACCCGAGGAGATTGGGGGTTTTGCCCTCACCAAAAGCCACAAGGAAACCACAAGAAACCAAGTTCATATTCTCCTCCAGGAGCTCATGTAGCACTTCAAAGAATTACACAAGACAGGAGCTTTCACTGGAAGTGAAAGCACACTATAATAGACAGGATCATTTGCTTCCAGTTTCACCATATATAAATGACATGAAAATACCTATTATTTCACACTATCATACTGCTACACATTTCTGCTATTGTTCAGCAGCACACATGTAAAGGAGAATCATGCTACAAAAACTCTGTGAACAGCCTATGCAAATAACTTTGCTACTGTTAACAACAGTCCAACTTCACCTTACTTTGCTAACAGGATGCTAATTCAGCCTTGGTCTGACTGTAACACACAAGTATATAACTTTTCTTGCTCTACTCTTCCACATGAAAACAAGATGCCAGCTTGCATCACACAGGAAGAGCAGGAGCAGTTGCCAGGCTATAATCACTGATTCTTCTGGATCCCAGTATAAATGAAGCACTTATGAACATTGATTCCCTAAGCTGACAATAAATGCAGTTCTTCTGCAGGCAGCAATAGGCTCTCCTCCCTTACATGCTGTGTACAGTGGGAAAAGAGGATTTTGTGAGGAGTGGATATGAAGATGCTAGCAGCAAAATTTCTGCCAAGTCCAGAGCTTGTATTTTGTGAACAGCATTCCTCCTCTCTGTATGGCAAATTAACAGCAGTAAAAGAAGAAACACACCATAACCTATTCCTACAGTGCAGTATTTCTGGAAATATAATGGCTACTAGGACATAACACTTTTGATGCACAAATGAAGCTGAAACTATAATTGTCTCTTTACTCTCTCCTTGTAGCTAGTGGTAATGGTAATGACATAAAAGTGGAACAATTATAGAATGTATGAAAACAGGTTTCTAAACATTCATTCCTATTTCTGATCTCAAGTCATCTTTCTGATCTCATGACAAAACTACTGGTCCACAATACTAATTTATCATTGTATAATGGAAATGGAAAGTCAGTTAATTTACCATATCCAGTAATTTGTTATAAAGTAAGAATTTTAAAGAGAGCTGTTTCACAGCTTCTATGAATTTCAGTCTATGGGTTCAGTTATCTTAAAGTCAGTGCTGTGATGAAAAATCAGACTGTCATGGTATGAAATCTTGAAAAAAATAAGCAGATATTTGAATGTAATTTAAAAATTCCCACGACAGAGAGGTCTGGTGATCCATGAAATGTCTAAACCACAGACACAAACATATTGCATACTCTCACATGAACATGAAAAGAAAGGGGGTAAATGAAAGCAAACAAACAACATACAAAATGAGCTTATTTTAATCTGGTTATAAATAAAAACCACAAGGGCAAAATTGTACCCCCAAAAGCTAGAAAGCAAATCACAACAAGTGAAAAGAGTTTAGTGGGGAAAAAAGATCACAGGCAGGAACACCAATGATGAAAAATGGACATGAAAGGAAACGGAATTATCTCTTTTCAAATGCAGCATTCTTTTCTAGTCACAGAAGACAGACATTCATTTCATTGCAAGAAGTTTAAATGAACAAACAGGAAGGCACAGCTCAGTGTACCTAAGGAGTTAACAGAAGTTTGGGGAGTGGGGTCCCTATCCTAATTAGGAACACAGCAAATAAAAAACAATTATTATGTTATCTTCAATTATGGTCACTTCAGCTTTACAAAGTGGTAAGCTATAAGAGCAAGCACTGAGGTGAACTAAGTATTAATTAGGAGACAGAGGACAAAGCTCTCATCCAGTTACAGGAAAATATCCCTTGGCACCAGGATACAACAGGGAAGAAGGAAGGAGATATAGGAGTCAGAGAGACAACTCAGCACTGTTTTATTCCCAAAGAAAGTACCATCTTGAGACATTTGAGGATGCCCCAAAGGCCAGCACTGGGGACCTGAGGCACATGCACACAGAGCCCCTTGATACTAAAGAGAGCTGTAGATGGGGCTAGAGAAACTGTCAGAGCTGTGGCATTTAACAGGAAAATGAAAGCTGTCCATGCCATATCCCTGCTTTTACCTTCTTCTACCTCACAGCTCTGTGCTATGAACAGTGAACAGTGCTGGCTCAAAACCCCCTATGCCACATGAGCAGATTCCTGGCTACTTCTATCTACAACAGTGGCAAACATAATTTTACTGCCTTTTCTTATTGTTTTTAAAACCACAGAGCTGCTTTATCTCCAACCTAGCAGAAGTTCACATGGAGAGGGCTGACTAATTTGAACTGATTGCAGACAAGTTGGTACAAGATTACTGAGTAGCACAGATCAGGGACCACCAGAGACTGATGAGCTTGGTAGCAAACCCTGATTTATAACCAACACATGGAAGAATGTGTCAGCAAAGACTCTCAAAGTGAAGCACACTAATTAGTTAAGCCTACTCAAGTTTTGTGGGTATTTCAAAATTAACAGGGTTGAGTAAATTAGGGCAAGCAGACAAAAGGCCCACATCCTTAAATGCACATTGTGGGTATGCTGTGAATTGTCTTTGCTGATCTGGATCTAAATGGATTTCAAGGTCTAATAATGAATCAATGAGTTGAATACTGCTTCCCAGATTCCTATCTGTGATTAGGCTCTTATAACAACAGGGATTCAAGGAGTGTCTTGCACTGCATTATTAGACCAGAGCTGGTATTAAAGAACTTTCAAACTCAAATTATGTGAATATTGACTCACCACAGCACGAACCATAAAGCTGAGTCCTGCCATTGTCTTTTTTACATCCCCATGTAATCATATGCAAATTAAACCAAGAACAGTAAAAGCAAAATAATAAAGCATGGTGGGCATCAAATTTGCTGTTATCTTTTATGGTACATAATTCTAGGAGATGGATGAAGCACCTTACAGTTAGCAAGAAATTTGTTATGAGAAGAGAAATACTTTTGCCTCCAAAACATTCAATAATATCTAAAAGTAATGTTAACATACCTCCTTCATTGCTCTTTTTTTCCGACTGTGCCACTTGTATCACTTCAGCAGCAGCATCCCTTACCACCAAGTCTTCATTCTGCAGCAGTACAATCACACATTTCCACAGACCCAGGGTATCAGACAGTCCTATATTTATTTGTGGAGAAAAATTAGAGTTCTATTTCTTATATGCATTCAAAGAAGTTAGAAAGCTCTGTTTCCACACCTAAACACAAGACATCAAAAGGCATTGGCAAACCACTGGGAAATAGACTAGCAATACAATTTTTCTGTGAACCTTATCTAGGTGGCAGACTCAGCTTGGTTTAAACGGTGGGCAACAGATAAGAGAATAGGCCTCTCTGTCGGGGTTCAACTTTAGTCCTGTGTGCTCTCCATTTTCTACAACTTCTAGGAGTGCAGAATTCCTGTTCGGCAACTTCAAAAATTCTGCGGTTGGAGATTGATCACTGATCAACACACTGATCATGGATTTGCTGCTGCATCTGCCGGGAGCAGAGGCTGCCAAACAAAGCTTTCCTCGGATACTGCCAGTAGTGCTAAACAAAAGTGCCATTCCCTGCTGGAAACAGCAACTGACCACACCTTCCAGGGATCTACCTGTCACCTCCTTTTCCCACATCCACCTGTCCCCAGCACTCACCAGCATGCCCTGCCAGCCTTACACCCACTCTCTGTTGGAAACAAGTTCAATCCACGGCGTGACTACACAGCTAAAACTAACCCGAGAGAAGTGCCAAGAGGGAGGTGCTGACCTGCTAATGCCCAAGCAGGCAGACAGCACACACCACCCCAGTGGCAATCCACACCTCACAAGCCATGCTTCCCTTGCAGACCCTTGTGCCACTTACTGCTGCCACACCATGCATGACTAGCTCAGGTCACACTAGCTCAAGTCTGTACTCCTAGGTTTGCTGGGGTACTTTTCAGCTCACTTTTCAGGTCTTGTTGAACATCCTGATTAAAGAAATTCACTGCAAGCTCACTTTAAGATGGAGCCAGCTGTGAGATATTACTTTCTGGTGACCACAGACAACACAAAAGTTGCGTTTCATTGCTGGTTTTTTCTGCCATGTTTTCAGCAGGTTTGTCAGAGATTTGTATCACAAGGCTAGCCAGACAAATACATAGCTGTATTTCACAGCTTGGCCAAAGTAAATTGCTCTAGGCTTTACTACACAGGCAGAAGAAGCATTCCTGTATTACCTGTAACTTCCCTATGTGGCAATAGCATGAAGTATAATTACTTCATAAAGAAGTTGCTTTTTTTCCCTAGCATGACACACTCAATAATATTATACTGGTAAAGCTAGGACAGAATAATTATTCTTCTAGAGATTCAATATTCAGATTTCCCACCTAAACAAGTTTCTATTGTATCTCCAGAAGCAGTGGAAGTTTACAAAGGGAATTTGCATAAAGACCTTTTCTGAACCCTCAAGCAGCTTGATGAAGAGATGATGGGGTCACCCAGAACACACAAACTGGCATTCACTCTCTTTCTCTTAGGAACACAGTAATGAAAGCTGTTGGGACTGACTACAACTCCATCTCATACAACCACAGTTTCCTTTAACTCCTACTTTTTACTATATGTGGTCAAACAAGCTGATGCAGAAGAAGGCACAGAAGTCACAGCTGTTTACACGCACACAAACCCTTCAAGGGAATTATCCTGGGTTTATATTACTACAGCTAATCACCAGCCCATGCCCTTGATTTGCCAAACTCCTCACTGCAGTACTGACAGTTTCACAGTTGTGAAGATCCCCAGACTGACAATTCTAGGTACTATGAAGGGTTAGCTCCGCATCTTTCTTCCCCTGGACCAATTTTCAGAGCAAAGAGCTAATTCAGATGGTTTGCCCACTGAGGCCTTGGGGCTCTATTTTCTGGGCTGTTTGGGGAGCACTTATTTTTGTTTACTTTCTGTTTTCATTTGTTTGTTAGGATTTTACATAGGATACAAACGGCTCTATGTTTTATTTCACATCTGCCTGACTAGAAAGCATGGAAATCAGCAACTGTTTTGACAAGATCAAAGAGGAAACTGTTGTCCATCATCTATGGACCACATCCAAATAACAACAGATGAGTAGCACAGCATTTGGGAGGTTTTCACTCCAATACTTCCACTGTCTTCATTTGACATAAAATGGTAATGATGTCTGTATTATGAAGAGCTTAATCTAGATAGTGAAGGTTAAGATTTCCAGAGCTGATACTATAAACACTTTATAGTGCAATGTCTACCTCATATAGATTTAGCTCTGGTGAATGTTACCAATACCTCTTAAAAGGTACATCTCAAAATAATAACTAATTTTTCCCAAAACCACTGTCTACAGATTAAGAAATATACTGTTCTTTTTGTACAAGAGATATTTGCATCCAGGCCACATGGATGGAGTGAATCTACTTAAACTAAAAACATTTACATAACTGCACTGGAATGACATATCATGGAGTTAAAAGTATCGAAAACTGTCTCTCCTGTTCAGGATGCAAAAGAATTTCTTTATCATCTAGTACTACCTACTCTTGCATATCTCCTGGCTCTTTAGTCACAAAATCCCCACATTTTCTATTCACCGAAGGTGCAGGGGGGGAAGCTAAAAGAAATCACCATTTATTCTCCAGAACAAACAGTTTCACTTAGCTTTGCCTCCCAGTCACTAATGTACCGTTGAATAAGGCCATGTAGGTTTTTTTTTGTTCTCCTTTCTTTCTGTTTTCTAAAGACAATGTGTTTTCTAAACACAAAAACTTATACCTGGAGATATAATGTGATTCAATTATTAATCATTCTTACAGTAGATCGTGTCTCTCATTTCTAGACCAAAGACCTTCATTACAACATCGAGCCAGCACAGCTTTGTGGCATTCCCAGCGTTAAACTAAACTAAACTATGTCCAGCTCACGGAAAGATTCAAGCCACAGAACAATTGCAAGCCAGTAATTCTGTACACCAGCGTATAGTGACCTGGAGATGTAACAACATCTCATGTGCCCCTTCTGTTGAGTTATTGCCAGAGGCTGGGCACATGTGCTTTTTCTACCAGAATTTAAATAAATCTATATGTTTAGTAGTGAAATCCTATTAAAATTTTTTTTAAAAACCCTGTTTGTTGTAATTATGTTTTGACTGTGCATACACATACATTAGAAATCATGTATTAATGGATTTCATCAAAAAAGATCGAAAATTACTTTCGAGCTACTTACCAAGAATGAGCTTCTCACTGCTCAGAAGGAATGATGTTATACTTTTAAGAACTTCAGCAGCTGCTAAAAGCATCTCTGTCTCTTGCTCATCTTCACAAAAATACACTATCAGCTGAACCCATTTTTTCAAGACTTCTTCTGAAATCTGAAGGCACAGAACATGTGAGAAGCATGTTGTACCTCTTACCATCACACTGAACTATGGCCTGCCTAAGGGATACTGCTCATTAGTAAATGCCCAGTTTTTTCAAAGTGGTGAAACCCACGTGAACATTTAAAAGCTGGGAAATCTTATTTTAGTTAGAGCGCCTGCTATTCACAGGCAAGTCTTTGACTCTGTCCCTTCACAGCAGAGTCACCAATTACCACAAAAGTCAAAGCGTATTTTTGGGTCCTCAGTCCTTCCACACATGCAAGCCAAGGACAAATACACTGGTCCGTTGGTGAATTTCAGAGTGTTCCTCTCTGCCCATCCCTCCAGCCTGTCCAGGTCCTTCTGAAGGGCTGCAGAGCCCTCTGGGGTACCATCCACTGCTCCCAGCTTTGTGCTGTCAGTGAACTTGCTGAGGAGGCACCTGCCCCTTCACCCAGGTCATTGATGAAGTTAAACAATACTGGGCCCAGTACTGACCCTTGGGACACCACTAGTGACACTAGACCCTGTGACACTGCTTATGACCCCGGGGATGTGCCATTCACCACTTCTCAACCCATGTCATTAACTGAGGAATTAATGAAACCTCAGTCATGCTCTGCCTCATTTTGCCTGGTACAGGGCCATGTATCTGCACTGCACAAAGGGACACAGCCAGAGCATGTCCTACAGATTCTATAACGGGTGAAAACAAAAAATAAAAATCTCCCAAGATGTTAGAATGACTGAAATTTCAAGCAGACACATGGACTGTATGTAGACAGATAGAACTTAACTTTTACCTCATCTTAAGAACTTGTTACCTCAGAGAAAATCCCTTCCACAGATGTAAATACTGAATGCAAGCTCAAAGAAAGACTTTAGATGGAAATCTGATGTACCTGGTCTTTCCCAAAGCCAAAAGCTCTCTCTGTAGGTATATCTTAGATCTCCCATGATTTATATGCTTATTAGAGAAAGCTGTTGCAGCATTTTTATTTAAGATTTTTACAGCATTTTTCATTAATTCTACTTTGTTAACTCTAAGTACTCACACTATGCCTTTCCTTTAACTAAAAAGATTTAATATCATAATTCATGCTCCTCAATTCTTGTGTGCAAATCTGATTTTATATTTTTTTATAATGAGACATGGTTATTAGCATATAGTAGGAAACCATTCTGCTGCTCATTCTATGAAAAATAATAGCTTTGTAAGGAAAGTAATCTTCCTTTTAAAACGGATCATGATAGTTCTGTTTGTTTTAAAATATCTACTAAGTGGATTTGAAAATATTTTTTAAAACGTCTAGCACTAAAGCTGCTTTTGCACTGCTCTATACGTACACATGTGACATCACAGACTGACAATTTAAAATCAAAAGAAATCTGAGCTGGCTGGGAACTGCACCCAACCACTGCTTCAGCTCCGTGCCTTCCCACCCGACGTGCTCTCCTGTGGGCTCTCCAAAAATCAAGAAACCACAACAAAGCTGCACTTCAATAAATGGGCTGGATTCCAAACACGGATTACACACCACAGGCATTTCGCTTTCTACATTATAGTGACCGTTTTGGATGAGCTCAGAGGCTGAAATTACTCCATCAAAAACATTTATGCATGTATTTAACCTGAAATTACTTTGAGAGGGATGTACTGAGATGATATTCATGGCTGTGTCATTTCAGAACATGGCAGTGTATTCAGAGAGGAAGACATAATGATGAATGTCAAAAATTATGAATGGACACAAGAAAACACAAGCTTGGGGCTTGGATCTGAAAGAAGACACATGTCTGCAATCAGTAAAAACTCCAGGATTACAAAACTGTTAACCAACTCTACTTCCCTTACCTGCTGATGGCTCTGCAAAAGGTGGATAATTAATTTGGAGGCAAATTTGAGAGCTACGGTTTGACCTTCAGGGCTGAGGAAAAAAGGCAAAGGACATATCAAAAAGCCAGCTATTTCTGTCATTTCATCTCTAGAAGAAAACCAGCCAGCTCTTAATTATTTCTGATGATCATCAATGGATATTTTTCAAACTGAGTACTTGAAGCTTTTACATTAGAGATCTAGATGTTAGCTAAGTTCTCAGCTGACATGCAAATAAAACATGCCCTTACTTTCACTTCTCTTCTGTTTACTTTCTATTTACATGCTTCTCATAGAACAACACATTTGAAAATGGAACCAGAGTCAAATAAACCAGACATTATTTTAAATTCTGAACAAATGCATCTCTTGAAGCTGGTGTTTAGCTGCAGGAATATCTCTTCTACAGCTGCTAAGCAAGATCTAAGGATATGGCTCTAGGCACTGTGGCTTCTGAAGCCTATTCCCACCATGGGGAATGGCAACACCCGAGCAGCAAGGCCTGTTATTCCAGCCACTTCCCTCTAACAGCACCAGTCAGTGTTATTTTACCACCAGTATCTTACTTCATCCCAGAAATGACCACTCCCATCATCATCATTTGAACTTGAACAATTTAGTGCAAATCAGCAGCAAATATGAACAGCTATAAAATGTGGTTCTACACTCTATATATATTCAATGTTTGTAACACTGGACTGTAATGTTTGCATGGCTTAAAAAACTATCAGAAACAGGATATAATACCCTTAGTCTGGACACTGTAAGCCTGTTTGTGGATGCCATTATGAATGCATGGGCACAGCTTCTAATTCAGTAGGACCTACAATCTGGCTCCAGATTTTCAGTGCTTTCTGCTGATTTTACAGTCTCTATAAGGAGTGCAAACCCTCAGGATTAGGATTAACCATTTCTGCCAATCCAGCAAGTTAAATGAGATCTGTCATTCTTTCTACAAACCATCTGCCCATAAACCAGGATAGGAGGGATGACAGATTCACAGCAAATGAGTGTAGGGCTGGATCATTAATACCAATTGTTAATTCTACAGTAATGTTTTCCAATTACCATTCAGGAAGAACCATGCCCACTGGCTATCACTGGACAGCCAAAGTAACCTCTTGTTTCAGGAACTGTACAACTGGACATTTACAGGGTGCTAGTATGACTTGTGGGCCTTCTGAGTAATTCAGATAAAAGTCTTACTTCTCTGAAAAATTCTCATGAATCCACTTTATTCAAATAAACCACACTCTCTTTTCTGAAACACAGATTTTTTTAAATGAAAGTGCAGTCCCAAACGAATATATCAATGTTCAGTGTTGAAAGTGTTTAAAATGTAAGTATTTCAACATGCATGACAGACTATACCTGCTGGAGATATCTGCAAGGTTTAAACTCCAGGTTAAGAGCTCATTTGGATTCATTTTTATAGAGCATTCAGTCTTTGGAAGCAAATTTCTGAGATCCATATTATAAAGAATTTCCAGCACCTGCAGACACAATTCACAAACAAAGAATTTACAGACAGTCTCAAGAGGAATGTGCACATTTGAGATCAATAAAACACCGACTTAAGCTCCACTCCAAGAACAAAAGGATTCTCTCTGGACAGTTCTAAGAAAGGAAGGAGGAAGTTCTTGCTTTTACACAAGAACATCTGTTACAAAATTATTGCACAGCTCCTGTTCAGTGCAAAAAAACTCCAACTACTCACCTACTATTTAAAAAACATACTGCACACTTGAAATATATTTTTTAAAATTGCAAATATGATCTAAAAATTAAAACATAATTTACTGAAAACATACAAAATGTCAATAAAAAACACCCTCTTACCTTGCAAAAACACTGGGGATTTGTTTCCTTCAGAGCCATTGTGAGAAGAGTGTCTTCCAAATCAGTGGGTAAACATAATACACCTCCTCTTCCTTCTGCAATCTGCTTGGAATTTCTTTGTTTCAGGCACAGCAGTATTGCTTCCAATGCCAGCAGACGCACTTCATGGAACTCACAGTGCAGGAGATGAGCTACTGACAGTGAGGGCTTGGCCATTTCCTTTGCAGCAGCTGAACCACAGCTCTGGATGTCAGGACCTGCAGCCACTGACAGCACTGATATTACAAGTTTGGTGATGCTCTGGAGATATTGTATCAGTCCTGGTACTGCAGATGAGTAGGGAATACCAGACACCAATTCAGAATCTGAAATGACTCTTTTCATCGCTTCCCAGAAGTCAAGCAATTGCATTCCTGCAATGAGAGTAGCACTCAGTAAAGTGAACAAATAGATGATGTTGCCATCTGCTCCAGACCGTGAAGCTGACAAATATCAGGTATGCAAAAGGTATCATAAGGTAAATTCAGGCATGAAATGAAAATCACAGTTCTCCTTCATTGTAAACTGATTCCAAATTATAAAAAGCTTTGCTAGATATCACATGTATTCATATTTAAATCAAAAGACACGAGGACACAAAGTTTCCTGAGAACTATGATTGTTCAACACATGAGTTGAAAGTCTCAAACAACTTAAAAAATGTTACAGTACCTTGCAGACTGCCTGCAATCCTTACCAATTACATTTGTTTGGTAAGTATTTCTTTCAACCAAGCTAGTAATATAATATTGCAAATTGTACAAGCCTACCATTTCTGCCATCGCATTAAGTGATTAACAGAAATAAACTATTACATATATGTGGGAAAAAAATGTGGATAGTTAGCTCTAAAATCAGAGACCAGACTGAACATAGTGCTGCCTGTCAGACTACTCAGCTGCAACTGAAATCAGGAGAAATTATGACAGAGGCCATTCTGATGACATTGAAAAATTCATGCCTTCATTGTTTTAGTCAGAAAAAATTAGTATTAAGAAGATGCCCCTTCAAGATAAACAGACCCGTCCTGTATCAGTGTAAAGAGTTAACTTATTAAAAAATCCAGGATACTTTTCCTATTCTTATTTATTTTGAACAGTTAACATAGGTAAGAAAACAAAAGAGCTGCACTGTAACCCCTCTTATGTATCAGCCCAGGAACTGTGACATGTCAGCCATTTACACTGGTGCACCCTTGCCCACATGGCCCAGCACAGCCTGAGAACCTTCTTTAGTGCTTGGCCACCTCCTGGAGCGAACAAAGAGGCCACTGCCATCTGTGATACCAGAGGGTTTCAGGCTTTAGGAGAGCTGGCAACGTAGACACAAAATAAAGAAAAAAGTCATCAATGGTCCTATTTCACATCCACACAGACTGAAATATTCATGTGCCTTGAGTTCAACCTTCTCCATCATCAGCAGGAATAAACCATTTTATAATATTGAAATAATTTTGCCCAGTTCTGTGTCTGTATAGCTTGTACCACAAGAAAATGAACATGCTGTATTCCACAAAATTCAAATGTAAGCAGGGGGAAATCACAAAAGAACAGAGAACAGTGCCACTAGTGCTAAGGGATGCAGGAAGTTTTTGGTTTTTTTAAAGGTAAAAATGCTCTAAAGGCAAATACAAGATTAAACAAACTTACATTTCTCCAGTATCTGCAAGAAGACAATTAATTGTCGTGTAATTTTGCTATTTATAATTAAACACTGAGCACTGCTAAAAGCCTGTCCAAATAGCCCTACTAAACTCCTGAATTTGACATGAAGCCACAGCACAAATATAGATTCATTCTGTTGTCCATAAAGACATTTCCCTAAGCCTTCTATTTACAGTTAAATATCCTGCCCTTTCATATTCAGATTCTTCTAAAGCCATCTTAATTTGTTTGACATTTACACAGAAAGTTGACATGGTTGTACACTGTCTAGCACATAAGACAGAACCATTTCTGAGTAATTCTGGACACGCTTCAAAGAAATGTAGTATTAAAAAATTTTCAGTCATATTGCCCAACCGCTAGCTCTGTCATTCACATTTTCGCTACAGTTTCTTTTCTGAAGGGACTTGATGCAGTCAGAGGAACTCCAGTATCAGCGGAAAGCCATCTCACAGCATTATCCTCTACAGGACACAGCTGATTTCCGTCTCACAGCAATGCAAACTTGTATCTTTTATTTGCTATATTTCTAAACCCCCTCCAAACACACTGCTTTTACACACTGGCATCACAGCATAAACCAGCATTAATGCCCGTGTCACAGGACACGTATCCAACTGCCAGAATTCCTTAATTTCTGAACTGTCTGGTTGCCTTGGAGAGGGATTAGGCCTTCGCCTCAGTTATTACACAGCCTGAGTCCACAGACAGCAGTTTAACAACAGAAATAATCCCAGGCAGCTGAAAGAAAAAGGTTCAAGGTCAAACACCTCTGTTCAAGAAGAGAAACAGCTTCAGTTTCGGAGCACTGCACCCTCCCCGGTCCCTGCCTGCTCCCCTCCTCAGCGGCCTTTCAGCAACACACACACCCCCTGGCTCAGCTCCTCAAACCAAGGCTGGATTTGTAAGCATACTGCAGGAGAAATGCTTTCATCTCCTGTCCACGTTGCTTTACGCTGAGGTAAGCTACATGCAAGCAGTAATGGGAAAGCTGACAGGATGGAAGGGTCAAAGCTCCAGAGCAGGGAAAGGGAGAGTAAGTAAGTATTAAGCGCACACAGAGAGAAATAGAGAGGGAGAAAGAGGGAGAGAAAAAAAATCAGGAAAAGGGGGGAGACTGTCTTCCATTTTGTTGGTGTCAATGCTGCCAACTTTGCCAGAGCCTGCAACTCAACATCAGAGAGAGACGTGACCCTCCCATGGACTCCAGGAGCTGGCCATGCACTGACCTTCCAACTCAGCAAACTTCTATTTGTATTTTCCAAGGCCAGCACAACTTAACTTTTATGTCCTCATCTCTGAAGGGGAAAACTACATGCATATAAAAAACATAGCGGAGCTACTCACTCCCAGAACTACTAGCTTGCACAGACTGTGATACAAGAGTCTTCGGCAACAGATCCTCTTTTTCTGCACATATAAAATACTTCTGCTTTGGAAGCCTTCTGGATGACTTCCTTTTTCCCCCATGCAATTGTGAAAGACTGGACACTGTGGCTCATCAATTTTACAGAAAGTCTCTTTAAAACTGGATGTCTCAATGGCAAGGCCGTCAGCAAAATAAGACTGTCTGAATATTTGCTTAGCCTCAGCACACCAGAAAGCAAATCCTTCTGCATTCACCTTGTGCTCCACATGCTCTCCAACAGTCTTTTTTCACACAAATATGTACAAAAGGAAAGAATGCCCCAGTCTTATTACAATGCAGTGGAAATATTCCTGCTTTCAACTTCATCACTAAGAAGTCTTTCCAGGCTTTCATGTAAATGTTTTCTCATCTGCTTAGCTTTAAGTAAACTCTTTCCTTTGGCTTACATCAAAATATCCAACTAAACCAGAAAACCACACCGGTTCCCAAAGCAAATGTCAGCCTCTGTTGTTAAGATACAGTAACAACATACTTTTATTTACAAACAAACATCACTGTACAGTTTGAATGGCCAGCTGCCGTGAGAAGGGAGAACAAATTCTGGCTGACCAAAGAAGGGTCCTGGCAAACAGCAGTCTCTCCAGGATGCTGACAGATGCAAAAGAGCCTTCAAGAATTAAGTGGATTTAGTTTTATTTTTTCCCCCTTAAGGATTACTTCATTTGTGGGACAGCAAGAATTTCAGCCTGCTTCTAGTACAGGAGACATCTTACACAACCACTTGGTTCTCTCCAACACCCGACACAAACATCCTCAGTCCCCCACACTGATATATTCATACATCATCTATGTCACAGCATCTAGGTTTGAGGGGCTGTTTTTTTAATCCTATTTGTGATCAACTGATGCTCTGTCATGTATATGAAGTAAAATGGTCTTTCACCACCTGAAAATAAAGAGGAAAGGAAGAGGAGCAGAATGGAATCAGTTGGATGAATCTGACTGGATGAATCTCCAGTTACAAACTTCCTCCAAATTTAGCAGTTCCCAAACCTGCACCCTGCCTGTCTTTCTTCTGCTCTTCCCTGCAGTGGCAGGCAGGATCTGTTCAGTCTCTTCCCAGAGTCAGCAGATACATAGAGCAATGACAGAAAAATGTCCCTGCTCAGGGTGTAACAAACCATCAGCTGATGGACATCTCAGCTGATATTTCATCTCAGAGGCACTACAGTCTGTTCAAAAATGAGAGAAGTAATCTGAATTCCTTCCATATTTAAATCTAAACTTGCTCCACCCTACAGAGTTGACACATTTCTGTAGGATTTGGTAATTTCACAGTGATTATTTAGCTACTGCCAAGTGGACAACTCTCCTGATCATCAGGTGTACTGTGTGAGGGGCTTCCTTCTGTACATGTGATTAGTATAGCTCTAAGTATTTGTATCTAGATAAATACAGAGATTAAATCCCTTATATAGGCCCTTGAGCATGCAAACCATCTTCCATGTTCCTTGCACAGGCTCCAGAAAAAAAGAACTAAGCAGGGGAAAACAGGGGAAGTTACTACCAGCATCAGGAAACTTACTGACCCTCTGCAAGGGCAGACAAAAATTGCAAGAGCAGCAATAAAATGCTGCTTTTCCTGCAGCATATTGTTATGGGAAGGGGCTCTGAGCATCAAAAATCTAGATATTCGTCATTATTCAACAAGACCTGCAAGAAAGAGCAATTGTTTATGGACTGAGGTTAAAATCCACTCTCTAACTACTATCCACAGACATCTGAACAGATCATATGAATAGGGAGTAGGCTGAGAGGTAATCGGTGCCAAGAAGAGATTTTCCTAGACAAATACTAAGGAAAAGTATTTTCTTTCGTACTTTTTCCTTTTATTAAAAGTGGATTAGGCGAAGTCGCTGCTAAATGGAAACAAAACCACAAGGAGAACAGAAGAGTCCGTTTCATTACACAGCCATACTAAGGTGACTGTTGATCATAAAAAGGGCATATTTTAAGCAGGATGTTTTCTTTTAAAGACATCTGCAACTTCTTCAACATCAGAGACTAGGCATCAGAACTCACAATACAATTCAAGACTACAAACATGGCGGATTACCAGCATCCATGGATATTTTATTGTTGAGGACACGAGTATCCCACTGCATTTTGTACAGCATAAGGGAAAGTTTCCAAAGGAAAAAAGAAGTGGGAAAAAAAGCCCCATTTTATCTGGACACTGAAACAGCTATTTTTTCTTACAGGTATTTTTTCTTGCAGCTTCTCTCTGGCCCAGCACTGACTTCTCCATCGTATAACTTTATAAAAACCCACAGAGACAGTG